CACACACACACACACACACACACACAAACACACACACACACACAATCTTGTCAGGAATGATGGCATATGCTATCTTGACCTCAGGATATTGAAGTGGAATGATCCTAAGTTCAAGGCTCGTTTGGGCTACACAGCAAAAATAAAACCACTGACATTTATCATCAAATACTTCAAAATGAATGTACCAGAGGGGGAAAAAATAACAAGCTTGTAAAATACAAAACTGAGAGTTCCTTGAATTGATAATTACTTTTAAAACATCAAGGTCTTCTTGGAAGAACTGTTATTTTAGCTTATAGAATTAAAATTATAGAATCAATTAAGCCTCTTTAAAGTATCTTTTCAAAGTTTGTGTAATATATCTGTAAATATATAACAAACAGTGTTTCATCTCTGACCTTCTTTTTTTCCACTGATTCAATATTTTGTTTTGTCTTGCAATACTTCAGCAGAAGCCTGCCACATCACTCTTTCTACAAAGGTCACTGACATTAAGATTTACTTCTCATTGGATAAAGAGACCCAGTCCAGAGCATTTGTGTGTGTGTGTCTTTGTTTAATTCGTAACAAAGCCTGACAGACAGGTGCAAATAATATGTCCTTTTTTCCAATCCAGAACTCATTGCTGAGTATGAGATTGTGGTACATGTGAGAAGGAATATGATTCCTACAACAGTTGGCACTGTGGGAGTTTGTTAACTCACACAGGTTGGCTCTGAGAATAAAGTTGATGTAAAAGAGAGAGAGAGAGAGGAGAGAGAGAGAAAAGAGAGAGAGAGAGAGAGAGCACCCCAATCCAACAAGATCCTATAGAATAATAACCAAGGTAATGAGTCAAATGTGTCCTGAGGCTACAATGGGAAGCCCTAATCCTTGCATCACAGAGGCCCTCCCTGGGGCCTCTCTTTCTACAATAGCTGGTGCCTTCTGCTTGAAGGGTTTTAGAGTGAAATAGGAATATCACAGTGATAGCTGGTAGTAGCAGTAATGTTGTTACTCCAACTTGACAAAGCATCTTCTTGCCTATAATGGGAAAAATTCTTCAGATATCATCCATGAATTCTGTTTTTAAAAAAAAAAAGAAAAAAAGAGGAAAACCATAAAATTAGTGGCATTACTACACAGTATGTTCCTAAGTGATAAGAATGTTTATCATTTAGTTCCTTAACTATCAGTGCCAGCTGCTTGTGCTTCAAATACTAAGGACTACAGCCGTCTCTTTACTACAAGAAAGCAACCTCTGGAAATCAGATAACCAGAGTTACTTCAGACTAATTACAAGTATAATTATATCTTGAATGAAGATAGAGGAAGGTCCAAGTAAACCACAATGTAGCTGGAATGTAAAATATAGCTGACAAATACATTTATAAAATATAAGTGTGCACAAAAATAGACACTTGTAGTTTGTAATAAAAAAGTTGTTTCTGATAAAAAAAAAAGGGCTATGTAGCTCTTCAGCAATGAAAACTTCAGTTTGAAACCTAGTTCAATAATCAATTCTCTTAACCTCAGGAAAAACTAAAGGTAACCCCATAGATTATCACTCTAACCAGAAAAAATACATTTGAGAATAACTAGAAAGGTATCAGTAATATGGCTGGACAATGGGCATAAAGTGGGAGTGCTCTAAACAAAGAGAAACATAAGGCCATTTTTATATATAAATACTACTCATGCCATGAGATGTGTGACTCTCATGAAACTGTTTAATCCAATGTCTAGTATAAACTCTACTGATACTGGTTACTCTTCATTGAGAAATGATGTCTGATGGCCACTTTCACTAATTTCTTCTATGTATCTCACCACCAGTGCCTCACAACAGAATACTTTCAAATAATGTATTAGAAACAAATTATATATGTGGAAACTACTGTCTCACAATCTAGAATGTACCAAATATGCTCTCCAGAAATATAATATTATTCCATACTATATCCAAAACAACAAAGCCACAAATTTCTAAATTTGTTCTACTGCTTACTCAGGGCTAAAGCAACAGTAGATTCTATGATCCCAAAAAGAAAATTTCATACCGTTACATTTACAGAAAACGCTTGTAGCAAGGTCCCCTTGGATTTCATTCTAAAGCAGTTTCTCTCTTCAAGAAGCAGGTTCTTCAGTTCTTCAAAGTTCATTTCCTTGCTGTTGGGCTCCAATAATCCAGTAACCATATAGGTGTGTTAAATGATGGCTGCCAACATGAAATGCCAGGACTCTACCATCTGCTTCCCCACCTCTGTAGTAGAGTTTGCATGGACCAGAAAAAACCCCCCTCATTCATAATACACACATACCTCTTTCAACATACTTAGATCCATTCCTACTACGTACCAGGTACAATAGCAGCACACTCAATACTTATTTACTGTCCTATCTATCATACCTTTTCTAATAAATCAGTATATACAAAGAAATCTAAGTGCTGGGTTAAGTGTTTAGATTAAAGCTTTCCTCAAAAATAAGATGAACTTTTCACACAAATATGAAACCTGGCATAGAATTCCTATGGCTACAATTTCAAATGCATGCCTATAGATATTCACTTTAGCATTAAACAAACTAGACACCAGGATTAAATCACTGACACATCCATTATGCTTGAATCATACCTGGTATCAGGCTCATAGAGATCTACATTTCTAAGAATTCTCATTTTATAAACAAAAGTAAACTTTCAAGACTCCTGCTAATACAACGGTTTATTCACATTTCAATGGAAATTTAAGAATAAACATTGCTTCTAGCATTTTTTAGGGACAACTTATATTTTTAAAAGCAAACATACATGAAATCTTGCCCATCTAAACTAACTTATTAATGCCTTTGGTCAAGTGTTTGAAGTACTAAACTTCTATTAGTAAGTTTTCTTTGTTGTTTTTTGTTTTATTTTTTGTCATGGGGCTTGAACTCTGGGCTTGGGTGTTGTCCTTGTGCTCTTCAGCTCAAGGCGAGTGCTCTACCACTTGAGCCACAGCACCACTTTAAACCTCTAATAGTACAACTTATTTTCATACTTGGGAGAAATTCAATGAATACAGAAAGGAAGGATATTACTCATGTATTTAATACCTACTTGATTCTATTCTGTTGAAACTATTTCTTCAACATAAAAATAAACCACATTAATAATTGCTAAAAACTTACTGCCATCTTCAAAGGACTACAAATCAATAGCCCTGTTCTATAGGCATATTTATATGTTTAATTAGGTAAGTTTTCCAAGCAAAATCCAGTCTCCTGTGAAATAATATTGGTGAAATATCTAAGTGAAACCAATTTGCAACTATCAAGTACATGAAAGAAACAGTATTTTTACAGGCACTTTCCTAAAACCACACGGACTAATCTACTTGAGTAAAAGTATATGAGGTATGACAATATTCATCCTTTCTGACCATAAGCAATTATTACTATCATAGTCAGGGAGAACAGTTCATTTGGTAGTGTTTTTCTACTATATCAGCAAAACTTTACGTATGCCCTACCTAAAATATTTTAATGCATATGCATATCAGATTTAGCCTTCCATTTTAAGATCTATGCCATTACAAATATTAACTTTGTCTTTAGAAACACTTTTCAGGTTTATATAATATATTCATATGACAGAGAACGGAAGAATTCAAGATTACCCTAATCCATCTCTAGAGAAAATTGCTACACGATATTATACTTACTGCTTCTTTAATTTCACAGGAAAAAATATGTATCTGAAATTCTTCTGAACCATGGGAACTCTCTGTAAATGCAAAGCAATTGCTCTCTGTTGTTCCATCATGCCCACGTGCGCAGAATAACACCTTATAGATTGGAAAAGATGCTATCTCCAAATTGTTCGATTGGTTTATAATTCTGAAGAACAGTGGCAAAAAAATGGTAAAATATTATCAAAGACAAATAGCTTTACTATGCTAATATATGACATATAAACAAAAGTATCTTTTTTTAAAAAATTACAAGCATAAGTACAAAGAAATCTAGAAAGCAAATTATTTTTGTATTGTTGAAAATGTTAAAAAAAACACACATTTTATCTTCTGTTGTCAATTTCTTTATTATTGAATTTAAGATCCAACTCTGACTCAAAATAACTGGAGCAAAATTGGCAAAATGCATTGTCACTCAACCCTAAAGTCAGGTCTTACTCTGCTCAAAGGAATGTCAGTATAGAATAGCACAGATCATTCCCACATTTGTGGAAAGTCTATTTCCAGAGCAGATCTATGAATTTATTTATCCCTATTATTATTATTTGAGACCTCTTTCATCTTACTAAAATTCATATGGTCCAAGGATAGACACAACAACAGAATAGGAGTTGAAAGGAGTTTCTGAAATTTAGAAACAAATAATTCTCTGAGTATCCTTGTACACATTCTATGTGCCTTGGACTGATCTAAGCATTGAAGACCCCTTCAAGATCTCAAACTCGGGCTAGGAAGTTGGCTCAGTGGTAGAGCGCTTGCCTTGCATGCCTGAGGCCCTGGGTTCAATTCCTCAGCACCATATAAGAAAAAAGAAAAAAGCAGGAGGTGGCGCTGTGACTCAAGTGGTAGAGCGCTAGCCTTGAGCTGAAGAGCTGAGGGACAAGCGCTCAGGCCCAGTGTTCAGGCCCCATGACCAGACCCAAAAAAAAAAAAAAAAAAAAAGATCTCTAACTCCTTGTTTGGCAAATGGATTCTAAATAGATAACATTAAAATATTTTTTACACTATTAGGAACTACCATATAAGTAGTCTTTATATAAAATACTTTCCTGATAAGCTCAAAGCATTTTTATCAAAACTTTGTAAATTTATCTTGCTATTACTTTTGTACTTTTAAGTTAGCTATCATTCTCTAGATTTTGAACCACTGTTACACAAGCTAACTACAAGTTTTATGCTCCTTCAGAACAGAAAAATATCAGTTACAAGAATGTTTTTATTAATTTTTTCCGGTCCTGTGGCTTGAACTCTGGACTTCTGCACTGTCCCTGAACTCCTTTTGCTCAAGGCTAGCGCTCTACCACTTGAGCCACAGCACCACTTCCAGTTTTTTCTGAGTAATTTATTGGAGATAACTGTCTCATAGGCTTTCCTACCTGACTGGCTTCAAGCTGTGATCCTCAGATCTCAGCCTCCTGAGCAGCTAGGATTACATGCATGAGCCACCAGCACTAGCTACAAGAACATATTTTTATTTCCACTAATATACCTCCTAAGGCTAACTCTGCAAAAACCCTCTCGTAACTAGAAACATAGTCTAAGCATAATGTTTACTTTATATGTGTAGAGTCTAAATGAATTCTTCTATCTGATTTATTATATATCACCCTCACCACCACTCAAAAATTTAATATATGCCTAAAGAAAAAATATTGGATTTACCTCACAGAACCTTCTGGGACATTTGGCACATACAAAGTAACAGGAAAAGGGTTCTGACTGGAAGATTTCATGGTTGCCATTGCCCGTAAAGCTTCTACTTCATTACGTGGGGACGAAACTTTCATATATCCTAAATAGGTCAGTTTATTAAATAAGACACTATCTTCTTCTGGTAGCCCACTTGGAGAAGATGGTCTGGGTGTAGGTATTTCTGAAATAAAAAGAATAAAAACACTCAAAAGTTAATAAAAAAAAACTACACAGGTTATTTTTTGCCAAATGCTCAAAAAGAAATGAAACATTTCAAACAAAATTTAGATTTTTCTGTATCTTCATTTCTTCTATTGTTAATACTAAGGCTTAATTCAAAATTCCAGAGTTGGTCATGTTTTAATTTTAAAACTCTTCATATATTACTTTATTCAACTAATTTCTTTTAAGGAAAGAAAAACTTCAGGCCTTATATGTAACAAAAAAAAATAGAATTCAAGTGATTCAGTTACAACAAAAGGAAACTATAACTAAAGACAGTGTGATTAATGGAAGATAATAGAAATCAAAAGTAAAGTCAGTGAAGATACCATCGGGTACAGCTTTTTTCCATAGCTCCACATGTACAAAGCAGTCAGCTTCCTAACCACAAGTAAACAATACTAAAATATGGATAACAACAAAAGCCAAGTACATAATTTCCTCTTTACTAGCTTGCTGGCTTCTATGAACTATTTAAGTGTTCAAATGTAATTCTTTTTCTTCTAGTTGTTTCTAATTGAATGACTCTATGTTATCTTCACCCAATTCCACTCCTTCCCCATAATAAATTTAAGAGGAAAATAAACTTAAATTCTAGTTACAACATGAAGCAGAGGTCCAATTTATGATTACAGAGTATCTATTTGCATGGTAGTATAACATTATCCCTGCCCCTACCTGAAACACATGTTCATCTATCTCCACACCTATACCAAATTAGGCATAGCTGTCTCACTTAAATTACATTCTTGGAGCATCTTCAAAATCTTAGTATCAGGATTCTATTTTAAAAGATTTTTACAAGTAAATCACAATAGCCATTTATCAAAGTTCCCCAGTCCAAATCCTAGATATATATTAAAATAACCTCACCACCAATTTATCTCAAAATGAACTACTTCATATACCATGTCCTGTAGTCACTGAAACATGGTTTTCTTACTTTTGAGTCCAATGTACTAAATCACCAAAAGGAGAAATAAAATTCTACAAATCAAACTGAGCATTGTGACACACATTGATAATCCCAACATTCAGGAAACTAAGGAAGAATGATCATGAGTTTAAGGCCAGCCTAGACACAAAATAAGTTCAAAATACTGAAAGACAAGGTGAGACTTTGTCTTTAAAAAAGCCAATGAATAAATGGGTAAATAAACTGAACAGTTTTAAGCTATAACTGGCCAATCAATATATGGAAAAATGTCAAAACAACCTGGGTGAGATTTCATCTCACCCAGTCAGACTGATTATCATCAAGAACAAATAAAAATAAATACTGGTGAGGAGGATAAAAAGAGGAAAAGGAACCCTTATATACAACTGAGGAGAACGCAAATTTGCGCAGTCACCATGAACATGGAAATTAGGATGAACATGGGTAATGCAGGTAAAATGGGACATTAAAAAGTACTCAATCAGACTGGGAATGTGGCTGAAGTGGTAGAGCACACTCTTGAGCAAAAGAAGCTCAGGGACAGTGTCCAGACCCTGATTTCAAGTCCCATGACTGGCAAAAAGAAAAAAAAGTACTCAATCAACCAGCTACCAGAAGCTCCTGCCTGTAATCCTAGCTACTCAGGAGGCTAAGATCTGAGGATCTCAGTTCAAAGCTAGCTCAAGCAGGAAAGTCCTTAAGACTCTCATGTCCAATTAACCACCAAAAAGCCAGAAGTGAAGCTGTGGTTCAAGTGGTAGAGCACTAGCCTAGAGCACAAAAGCTCAAGGACAGTACTCAGGCCCTGAATTCAAGCCCCAGGACCAGCATAAAAATAACAGACAAATAAATAAATAAAACCAATCAATCAAAAAGGCAAGAAAATAGAAGAGAAACAAAATAGAAGCCAGAAGGAATAATGAGGAAACAAGGTATAAAGTACCTACATCCATCTAAACTTTTTTTAAAAGCACATGGCCAGAGGTTGGGGGGCATAGATCAATGGTAGTTTGATTGCCTACCAAGTGTGAGGCCTCAGGCTCAATCCCCAACACCACAAAAAAAAGTTGTTAAACAGAGGAGTTGTAAGCTTTTTTTTTAAGGCCAAATGACAAATATTTTAAACTTTGTGGGTCAAGAGGCAAATCTAGGTTATTCTATAGGTATTAATACAATAAGAAAAAAACTTTTACAGATTATTTTAACAAAAAGCAAAACTTTATAATCTCAAATTTCAATATTAGTGCAACTTTCCTATGTCACAAAGTATTATTCTTCTTTTGATGTATTTTCAACCATTTAAAAATGTGGAAGAAAAACCAACTAGTATCCTCTAAGGAAGCAGAGATCAGGCATATTTTAGTTCTAGGGAAGTTCAGGCAAAAAGTTTACAAGACCCTATCTCATAGTACAGCTGGTCATGGTGGCACACCTTGTCATCCCAGCTACATGGGAGGCTAATGGAGAAGAGTACAGTTCCATTCCAGCCCCAACAAAAAGTTGTGAGAGACTCCATCTCAACAGAAAATTAGGGGTTGAGAGTAGAACAGCCTTGCTATTGGTTAGAAGTGTAAGTAAATAGGAAGACTGTGGTACAGACAAACCAGCCAGGGCAAAACAAACAAACACCAAGACTTTATCTCAAAAAGTAACCACAGAAAGCTGGGCAGAAAAGTTTCGTTCTATCTCCAAAATAACCAGCAAAAAGCAAGGCTGAAGGTGTGGCTCAGAGATAAAGTGCTAGTCAAGCAAGCAAGGTAAGCAAGTGTGAAGTCACAAGTTCAAGCTCTATTAGTATCAAAAATAGTAGTAGTTATAATAACAATCAGAGCAAAAAGGGCTAGAAATGAGGCTGAAAAAAAAGTACCTGCCTAGTGATCACAAAACCCTCATCACAAACCACAATATTATACACAAAAGAAAGGTAAGAACCATCCTTAACTGCAAGCCGTATCAAAACAAATAGCAGGATTTAGCCCATAGAGTATAGTTTGTTGACCATGCCTAAACAGTAAAAGACTGAAAGTTATCTACAAAACACACTTAAAAGGCACAAATATGTTAAAAGTTATTTTAACAGAAAAATATGTCAGCACTATAAAAAAAACTAGAGGAATTCTATCAATATCAGGAAAGATAGGACGCAAAACAAACATTTATCAAGAGAAATGAGATATTTCACAATAATAAAATCATCAATTCATTGAGAAAATACAATTCTAGAAGAGTTAAGGCAAGACTGCAGATTAGAAGTATCTGCTATTTTCACTCTGTGAATGAGAATACAATGTGTCACAGAATAAAACAGATTCTGGAGAGAAGGAGGTGACAGGGAGGTAAAAAAACTTCAGGGAAACAATCTCAACTGGAGAAAAGGAAGTACTTGAGTAGCTTCTGGCTCCTACTATTAGATGGGAAATGAAAGATTACAAGATAAAATCAGATGGTCCTGCCTACAAACCACCAACCCTAGCTCCAAGAAAAGCCCAAACAATCTGCAAGATTAAGTGTTAATTCCACTACAGGGATTTGTGAGGCAGTGACTACCCCAGAGGAGAGTTTAGCCTTGGTGAAGAAAGGGATCTTGTGGCTCCTCTTTCTTGTGGAAAGAAACAGGAAGTTGCCATCTTGAGCCTGGGGCTAAGGGGTACCCATGGCTACATGACTCACAGGACATTTTCTATAGCATCTGGATGTAAGTTAGTCAAAAAAAGATAGTTAAGAAGAAGGGAAGAAAGAAGTGCTTGACAATTTCCCTAAGGGAATCTCAAAGGCCGAAACACTGTCAGCTTAGTTTGATACCAGAGGCTTAGGAAGGCAGGCTGGGGATTTCCTGCCAGGACAAACAGCAGAAACACAGAAGCTACTGTTATTATCCATGGAGAATTGAAATGGCAACTCATAAGACCAGGCAGAGGCCACTATTGAGAAGCAGTTGAAATCCCAATAGGCAATACTCCAAACATCTGGTAGAGAAAGAAAGATCTCAGGGAATCCTTGTTGGGTCACAGAGCAAAGGCATAACAGGCAGCAGGGACTCTGAAGGGAGAGTTGAGGGGGAGGAAGTTCTCCAGTGGCTCTACCTTCGCAGGCTAGGAGAGAACTGCTTAAGTCTGAGGCCAGGGTAGAAATGAACCTTTGAAGGGAATGTTCTGTTAAGTACTCACTATCCAGGGCCTGCTTCCTAGCTCTCTGTGCTGATAGCCTTCCCGTCCAGCTCTACAAAATAGTGGGGTGTTCTTGCATCCCACCCAAGAAAAACAAAAAAAAAATCTGACCATGTTTAATATATCTTTTTGTACTTGTTACTGCTATCTTGATTTCTTTCCTGTATCATTTAATTTTTAGTTTTTACTTTTCAGTGCAGGACATGTACCCCCTGTTCCTTCACTTTTCAGTTTTGCTTCTCTCTTCCTTTCCTCCAAAGTCATCATATTTGTACCACAACACCTTCCTTTCAATATTTAATTTTGATTCATATTTCATACCCTTTTGATGAACCTTCCACATATATACTTTACTTCTCTCCACAAGCAGAGCAGGTTTTTTTCTTGCTCATATTTCCTTCTATACCTGTTGTCCCATCACTAATCATTCCTTGTTACCTACATTTTTTCTTAGTAACTAGATTGCCCAAACATCCTTTCTTTTTTCTCTGGAGTTTTGTTGTTGTGTATTAGTTACTTTGAGTTTTTATATTTGCTTTGTTTTTGCTTTTCTTTCACCTCTCTTTTTTACTTTTTTGCTTGTATATGTGTGTATGCTTATTCAATTCTCTTCATTTCAGTCATCCTACCTCAACAAAATTAGCTCAATTTTCCTATTTTATTCTACTTTCTCATTCATCTCCTATTAAGCTTGGTCTTCCCACTTCTTCCTTCCCAATACAACCACACACCTAGATTATTCATTAGTGTCCCCACTGTCTTCTTTCTATTACTATCCTGTTTAACTAAGGTCTTCCTAGACCTACATCTTTGCTTCTATATTCATCTAAATATATTGGAGCAGTAGTAATGACTAGTCTTCATTAGAGATTGCCACAAACCCAAGATTGTTATTTATCAATTGCAATAGTTCTTCTAGCCAAGAAAATATAATTTTAAAACAATATACCCTATTGTCAGAACTTCAAAATATATCAGCAAAACTAAGAGAGTCTGAGATGTTAGCAGAAACAAACAACTGGACCAACCAAGTTAAAGTAATATTTGTTATATATAGGTTATCTTTCTTATGGGTTAGAACTAAAAATTCTAGAAAGAATATAAAGCAACTACCTGAAAACACATTATGTAAAAAAAAAGAAAAGAAAACATAAAAGCTGGTCATGATGGCACATAGCTATAATCCTATCAACTTAGGAGGCAGAAGGATCAGGAGTCAAGGCCATCCCAGTAAAGTAAACCAGACCTTATCCCAAAAATAAAATATAACAGAAGAGCTGGGGGCATAGCCTAAGTGATAGAGGCTTGCCAACTGAGGGAGTGAGGACGTGAGTGAGGGAAGAGAAATCAAACCTTGAAGAAGAGTTGCTAAAGAATCAATGAGAGTATTGAGTATTGATAGGTTGTTGCTGATTTTTTTTGAGGGGGAGGTGTTTTCATTTCGTTTGTAAATTTCATTTTTTTCTAACCTTTGTATTCTAGCTTTAAACTAAGGATGGCCACAGTTGCCAAAACACAATAAAAACCAAAATGGTAAGGAAAAGCTAATCTTTCTGGCCAAAGGACAGGTAAAGTTCATGAAAACCACTGTGGAAATTGCAGTTTGTTGTTGTTATTGTTGTTGCTGTTTCCTCTCCCAGTCATACTGCAATAGTGTGGTAGTAGCAAAAGCACTTAAAATCTGGGAGAGAAAGGCTTTTCTCAATAGCTAGAATACCAGGCAAAGAACAAGTTTGCAACAAAAACAGAAAAGGAAACTTCCAATATTTTCTCTCTTTTTCTCTCATTACTTGTCCTTCAACTTGGTACAGGATAAAGTAATTCTGCCAAAAACACAAAGTGAAACATGGCTTTAAGAGAGAAATCTTCATTCTATCAGAGGAAAAAAGAAACAGGGCCCAAGGACGCAATGAGTAAATCAGAAAATCCTGGAGAAGAAAAAGAGGAAAAAGACAATCCCTTCAGTCTGTCTGTAAACTAACATAAGTCATGGGCTTGCTACCTTACTCTGCTACATGTATGTAGCAGAGTAAAGAAGTATAGCAAAAGGAGTTAAAAAGTGAATTGAAACAGAAAGGAGGATAGAACTTGTCATCTAGCCATCATCAGGTAGATTATATGTTAAAACCAACATGCTTCAGAGAATTGGGAGGAAGGACAGCATTAGAATTTGAATTCAAGGGCTCGTGCTTCATAGAGAGGCATTCTAACACTTGAACTATGTCCCTAGTCCTTTTTTGCCTTTGTGGTTTGTTTTTTTTTTAATATGGTCCTGTATTTCTACCTGGGGCCAGCCTTGGAATACTATACTCTCACTTAGGATGTCCTGAATAGCTGGAGTTAGAGAGGCACACCACCCTGACTGCCTTGTTTGTTAAGACAGGGTTTCAACTTTTTGCCTGGAACAATGATCCTTTCTATCTCTACCTCCCAAGTACCTGGAATTACAGATGTGAGCCACCATACCCAGCCCTCTTCAGAGGATTTTAACTGGAAACTTTCTCAAATACAAAATTTTTGTCTGGGAAACAATCCAATTATTCAATAAACAGAAAACAGAAAAGGAAAAGGGAAAATAATAAACTTAAATAAATAGCTTGAAGCATAGCTCAAGCAATAGAGGCGCCTGCCTAGCATGCATGAAGCCAAGTTTAACCCTCAGTACCACCAAAAATAAATAAAATAAAATAAAATTAATAATTTTCAGCTGTTCATCTTAAAATATGTACTATCAGTTTTTTCTAAGAGTTGAATATAATACCTGTGTTAGATGGATCCAAGATTAACTGAAGAGATGGCTTATTTGATTGGCTGGCTGTAACATCTCCAAATGAATGGTCTGAAATCTCATTGGAACTTTGACAATCAACAAGAAGGCTGCTTTGTCCTTTCTCAGAATCCCTCAAAATCTCTTCCATAGCTTTTTCCAATTGTTCATCACCATTAGAAACTATCTGTAGACAGAAACATAATTCTATTTCAGCCCTATTATAATTTGAGATATTAATTCTGTAAAACTGTTATAATTTCTTCTAGAAAATTTTGTTTCTAGAAAAAATTAAAAATATATTTATTGAATACTAAGAACTAATGTGCTTATATCACATATAAGAAATTAAAATTCCAAATAATAAAACCAACTAAAGGAGAAGATTATTAGTTTCACAAAACGATTCTTTATAAACACTTTAGGTAATTTCCAACTACATTTGGTAAGAGATTTTATTTACAGAGATTGCTTTTTCTTTTATTCCTTTCATTTGGGGAGTAATGCACCGTAAAAGTTATATAATCTTAAAATTACATGCTATAAAGGAGAAAATGGGTAAATTTAAACAGGATAATTTATAAATGCCTTTGAAAAGACAGTACAGTTTATGATTGTTTTATAAATTCTTTGCTAGCTACCAAGGAGAATATTATAAATTTGTTTAAATATAAGTTGACTTCTATTTTTTTCTTAAAAGCAGGTGAAGCATAAAGCCTAAGTAAATAAATGAATTCTTAAAATCAATAATGCTGGGCTAGGAATGTAGCTTAGTGGTAGAGTGCTTGCTGAGCATACATGAAGCCCTAGGTTCCTTTCATTCCTCAGCACCACATAACCAGAAAAAGCCAGAAGTAGCACTGTGGCTCAAGAGGTAGAGCACTAGCCTTGAGCAAAAGAAGCTCAGGGACAGTACCCAGGCTGAGTTCAAGCCTCAGGACTGGCAAAAAGTAAAAATAAAAATATAGGACTGGGAAGATGGCTCAGTGGTAGAGCGCTTGCCTTGCATGCTCAAGGCCCTGGGTTCGATTCCTTAGCACCACATAAGCAAAAAAGAAAAAAGCCAGAAGTGGCACTGTGGCTCAAGTGGTAGAGCGCTAGCCTTGAGCTGAAGAGCTGAGGGACAGTGTCCAGGCCCAGAGTTCAGGCCCCACGACCGGACCCAAAAAAATAAATAAATAAATAAAAATAAAAACATAGCTATCCAAAAGTTAAGCCACTGATAAGTCTGAAGGATAAAACAATATATTATCAGAATAATGTAATGGATATTCAATTATCTCATTTTTGTACTAATTTCATTATTAGACATATATTAAGGCATCTTTGCTGCTATTTTTAATACTAAGCAAAAGCCAGGAAAAATACATAGCATTGCTAACTTACTCCATCCCTGCTTACAGAGAGAATTATGCAATTCTCATACACATATACCTGTGTTTGATTGCTTTCTTTCCTTTGAGGTAGGAAAACTAATCCAAAAAGAAAAGAAGAAAAATGACCAGATCCAAATGAAAAGAGCTGATAAATATATGATATATACTTTCAAAATATTTACACAAGTTTACTGTTAAATCACCTAGTAGAATGTTACAGCTGATTGAAACAAATTTCATAATGGAAACCATCTCTAAAGAAAAAGAAATCAACTTTTATGTAATTGACTTTTAAAACCCAGAAGACAGAAACAATTAGATCAATTAAATTTTTATGATTTAACCATTAAGTTTAATTTGCAAATTACCTTTTCTATTTTCCCTTTAATTTCTTCCTTCTGAAATATCAAATTACAGGGTACATAACCAAAAGCAAAATCTTTAAAACATTCAAACCAAGTAAATAACTTCTAGATAAAGCAAACACTGATTTTTATTTACTCTCAAGGTCAGTAATTGAGAAAAACCTTAAATTTTTATACACCACCCAAGATAATCTTCAAATAGTTTTAAAGAGAAAAAAGAGTGAATTAAAATGTCATATTAGAACAGAAATAAATACCTTCAGTTGAGGTTTTTCATCATCTTTTGTAGAAGTATCATCAGCATGCTGAGGAACCAAAACAAATTCTTCACTGTTCAGTGTAGCCACAGAATCAGATGACCCACTAACCTTCTGCAATGAAGCTCTGACCTCCATTTCAATACTGCAAGCTTCTCTTCCCACATCCACCTAGGAAAAATGCAGGGAATAAAAAAATACTATTAGATAAAAACATAAACTACTTAAAATTATAAACTAATGTACTTTTTAAAATGGTTCATATTGAAGAATCTTGCTGGATAATCATCTCAAAATTAGAGAGGTTACTTTCCTGGACTGCTCCACATAATGGAAATATACTCTTTACTCCTGAGTTTATAGACTAAAAGAACCATATTGTTCCCTGAAAACAAACACAAATCTTCTCATTTTCTCAACTAAACAGCCTTACCTATAATTCTCTATTTCCCTGAGAGATAGTTTTTGTTCTTTTTAATAAACTTAAGAAATAATAAACACATTACAGAAACACCTAAAAATTCACACAAAAACAAATTACCTTCAGCTTAACATGGTGGTACACACCTATAGTCCCAATATTCTAGAGGCTAGAAGACCACTTAAGTGATCCAGAAACTTAAGGTAGGAGTTTGACAGAGGAAAACCCTGGTTCAAAAACAAATCTATCATTTTGATTACTTTGTTAATTAAATACAAATGCTTTCAAAAACATATCTCCCCAATATTTATCACCTTTAAATGTTTTTCCTGGGTCACTGAGCTTAACTAATACAGAATTCAACAATCCACAATTTTTTCCTTTCCCAGACACACTAATACCAGCTCATAAAAAAGAAAATTTTCATTCTATCCTAATCCATCTAAGATTCAGTAATCAAATGCATTATAATTCTGTTTCTGGATAAATCCATACCCTCACAGAAACTCAACACTATCATTTCCTGTACTTCATATATTACCACTTATATATTACTAATATTTACTTTATAAATATGTAACTCATTACCTGACTTACATAACTATAATCCCTCTGTGCATCACCTTTACAACAAAATATAAATGTTTAAAAAAGAAATGTATTACATAACCAAGAATGTATTGTTCCAGGGTACCATGACTTAATAAGGAAGCCAGGTGGCCTACTATTCTGAAGTTTACATACTAAGTGAGAGGAAAAAAGAGGTAAGGAAAAGTGTTAATTCCAAAAGAACTCCCAGGATGAGGAATAAAACAGGCTATAGTGATAAAGAGAACCTAAGGTAACTGTAGAAAGAACTTGCTAAGAAGAAAATATATGAGCTAAAACCTGGAAGACAAAAGGCACTAAGTATTAAATTGAAAAATAAGCAAAAGGGTAATGTGATAGAAAAGCAGAATTAACAGGTGAGCTAAACAACACAGGACTCTGTACATCACAAGAAATTCACACACAAAATTCTCCCAGAAATATTCTTTTTCTAATTGGGGTTACTCGGCTTTATTGCCACATACAAATCTGGCTGCAATATTTCATGTGAACACTAGGTGACACTAACACCATTAATCTTGGAAAACAAATCATTTACTCCCAAATTACACATTCAAACATTACTTTCCAACTTTTCAAAATCAAAACTCCCAAGAATGCCAAAACAAAGAAAAGAATTATCTCCTCAAGGTCTGTCCAACATTTATTTATGTTACTCATACTAATGTCCTGTTTTAAGAAACCCTTGGAAATAGATTCATCTATTTTCTAAAGATTTTTCCACTTCACATGTGTTTCCCAAACTGCAGAATGTGTTAACAACCATGTCTTTACACATCTAGGCTGTACTGTAATGCCTTGCACTTGCTAAGTAAATTGTCACTTAATATCTGCAGCCATTTTTGCTTTAGTTATTTTTCTACTAGGTTCTCACTTTTTGCCTAGGCTAGCATGGGCCATGATCTTCCTATTTACATTTCCCACATAACTGGAATGGTAGGCATGGGCCAAGGTTCTTAAAAATTTTTTATTGTTAATTTGTTTCCTCAAGCTGGCCTCAAACTATGATCCTCCCAATCGCAGCCTGTCCAGTAGCTACAAATACAAGTGTGAGCTACTATGCCAAGCTGCTGTGAATCTTTTATTGTCAAAATACCATACCTTTTTATATCCAATCCTCTCCAAATCCTTTTCAGGTCGCTGTTCTTCCATCTGAGTTCTAAATGTTGGAAATCACTTGCCACACACACTAAGTAATGTCTCTAATCATGGATTAAAATAGCATATATGTATATATTTTACCAGTCTCCCATGTTCTATACCAACTCAAATGCTTTCTCTTAATTCATGACTTAGACTCCACCTGTCTACTTCACATTCCCAAGTAAAGCTATTATCAGAGGCTGGACACTGGTGGCTCATAACAATAATCCTAGCTACTCAGGAAGCTGAGATCAGAGGTTCATGGTTCAAAGTCAGCCTAGGCAGCCTACCTCTGATTAACCACCAGAAAACTGTAAATAGAGCTGTAGCTCAAAGTGGTTGAGAGCTAACCTTGAGCAAGAGACTGGGAACAGTGCCCAAGTCCTAAGTTTACACCCATGACTGAGCTAGTGGAGAATATATATATATATATATATATATATATATCCGAAATAGAATTTTTAATGTCTCCTAGAAACTTGTTTTCCAAGCTCCCCATTTGAATAAATAACCCCATCTTCCACTAAGTTACTCAAACAAGAAATCTGGATGTTACCTTTGAGTTACCTCTTCTTTTTCGTTCTTCCATTCATTAGCAAGTCATAGCAAGCCCCATATCCAAATAAATCTTCTATCTATTCATTTTCCATCACGTCCTCTACTACTATCTACTGCAAAAGTCTCCTAACTACCAGTCTTATCCTCCTCAATCTACTCTTTACCCATCTGTCCCAGGAACTTTATAAAAGACAGATTACCTTAAACTTCAGACTAAAACCTCTACACTCCAATTCAAATAAAACCCAAACTGGAATAACTAGGACCATTATACTTTTACCCCTGCCACATTCTAATTATAGCTCCTTAATCACAGCAATTTTTCCCCTTTCAGATCTTAGCTCTTACCTCATACCTTCAAAACTGATTCCTTCAAGATTCGGTTCATTCATGCTTTCAATACATATTCATTGAGTCCCTACTATGTACTAGAAGTGACATACCTGAATAAAAACACAGCTGTCTGTCTTCCTAAAGCTAATAACATCCTAACAGAACACAAAATTAGAATTACATCCTGCAATAAGTACTACAAAAAAAACTTATTTGATATTTGGCTAATTAAAAAGGAATTAGCCATGGAAATAATTACAAGAAAAACTTTAACAGAAGTAACAGTAAATGCACAAGCCTAGACAGGAGAAAAGACTTATTGAGAAACAGAAAAGAGGTCATGGTAGCTAGATCATAAAGGATAACACAAGATGAGATATAAAAGGGACAGAAGCAAATGTCAAAACTATCTAAATAAATTACTTTCTTGCCCAAAAACTCTGTTTACTCTACCATGAACTACATTTCAACCCCTATAGTTTCTGTAGCTACAGAAAACTGAAGCTCTCCATTATCCTCTTCAACTATGTAATCCAAACAAGACCAGCAATCCAGGAAGCCTCCACTGGTACCCAAGAAGATAATAGCATCAACACAACAGAGGAAGGGAGGGAGGGAGGGAGGGAAGGAGGGAGGGAGG